ACTTAAAAAATACTTTTTTTTAGTTCAATAAATTTCATATTGAAATGTTAATTTTATTAATAAATAATAATTAATATATATAATTAAACACTATATGCAAATATATAGGTATTTAAACTTATTTATAAACGTTTCAATGACTTAATAATACTTTAATAAGTACAAGCAGATATAAGATAATAGTCAATAGATAATTATTAATTACTTAATTACTAATAAGTTCAACTTCAGCAAGGTAGATAATATTGTTTTGAAAAAATACCTAATAACTGGTTCACATTTGAACCCTAACGATTATTAGGTAATAACTGAACATAAATGGACATATTTAATTTTTTTTTTTCATTTATATTGTCACACTGTATACTAGATACGTTATACGAATATAAATAATTATTAATTTGAATGTTTACATGGTTTTCTAATCATTAAAATTGTATTTGACTATGATCCGATTAATAGGTACCTAGTTTATTATTTCTATGATTAATTAATAGTTAGGTTAACTGTTTAAGTCTTGCTAATACCAAATAACATAACGTACCTAGTCTAATATATTTTAACTTTATTTCCGAAACCTTAATTTTCTAAAATATACAAGTATCTATATTAAAGATTTTCAAAATCACCTTTTAAATATGACGGTCAAGTAATTTTAATATTTGATTTTATCGATGTGGCAACGATCAACAAATTATTAAATTTACACTAATCTGTAGGTATATATCATTATATATTTTACTACTCAGTACCAGTGTTGGGTAAGTTACTTTTAAAAAGTAATTCAGTTACTTTACTCGTTACTAAGAGATAAATGTAATTAAGTTAATTAAGTTAATTATTTATCTAATATCCTTAAAATTTCAGTACCTAAGTAATAATAATAGTCACATAAAAAAATAGTTCATGTTAAATAATGTTATATTATTTTTTAATACTAAATACTAATTTTTATCCCTTCGTAGGTAGGTAATATGCAGTAAAAAGAAATATTTGGTTAGTAAATAATGGTTTTATTTAGAATAGGTATTGTCTCTTACTTCTTCCATTGAATATGACTTTGATGGTTTGTTATTATTGCACTCTACTGCCGATTTTTTTATATACACGATTTCCTTTATCCTTCTCTCTAAATTTTCATTATTATGTTTTAAGTTTGTAAAAGTATCTTCCAAGTTTTTTATTTGTGTTTTTGATTCAATAGATTCTGAAACAACGAATACTAAATAATTATTTCAGGTTCCTAACTATCCTAACTTTCTATGTTAGAGTCAAATAAAATAGTAAATGTTAGACGTATGTAGATAGTTGATAAACATAACATGCCTTTTTTATTTGCATGTATTTTACTATGTAACTTTGTTGGCCAAAATTCGTGAATGTGTTCCATGTTTATTGAACATATTCTTCTCCTGGCTTTGCATTTCCTATAGGTAAAATACTTTGAATTATTTTTTCTAATAACATAACCATTGTTACGGCGGAAACGCCATGCCTAATCTAATATTGTTATCGATAAACGTTAAACCAAATGTCATTAGAAATTATATTGCGATTATACCTACTATGTGTGTAAGTTACTAGTTAGTCGTTGTTGTCGAGTTGTCGGCTACGCACTCGCAGAAATAATGTAAAATATACAGTCCATTAATAATATAATAAAAAATTGTTGTAAATTCATTTATCAGGTAACAACCATATTAGAGCACCATAGACGTTTATAATTTATAATAAAATCAAAACGAAATTAATTTTTCGCTGAGTCAGGTTTTATTCTTTTTTTGTATTGTTTTATATTCTTACTCTTAGTATTCAAAGTTGCTTGTCTTGAGTGCCGCAACTAAAGGGTGTGTAAGGTGTGCATTGCACATTGGCCCCCAATCCCCCAGTCCGATATAGGCCCCCAAATCGATATGTCAAAACTAATTGTAAAGCTGTGACCAAAGAAAATCCAAGTAAAATTAAGAATAAAAAAACAAATTTCATCATATTATTAAATATTTATAATTTATTTTAATCATTGGAAATGGCCAAATATAATACAAATGTAAGTCTAAGAACAAAAATAACAGAAAATAATACGGGCCCGTGGTCTACGTTATCCAATATCCGGCGACAACAGAGTACTGCCAAGCCACTGAGCACTGAGCGCATTTAATTATTACCTGACTTAAACTAGTAATTTTAAATTTCTATCACCAATAACCATTGTTTGGAAAAATTAAGATTATTTTATAAAATCATCATATGATCCAAATACTAAGAAAAAAATCGATATATCACATGAAAAATAATGGAGTTACCGTTTTTTGGCTTACTGTGTTCTGGCTTGATTTACTATTAAAAACGTTATTTGCAGTTTTTCAACAATCATGTTGAGTAGAGATACCCTTTTTTAGGTTAGCAGTTAGCACGGCAGTATTGTATCAGGACTAAAAAAATACCATACAGAATTTAGCTTTTTATATAAACGATATGGATTATCAACAAGTTTTTCTGATGTTCTAGCTACTCCTCTTATATTTTTAACCACTTATGTTACCTATACGGTAGTATTTACAGAAAGAAGTTTCTCAAAACTCAAATTAATCAAAAAATGTTTGAGCAATTCTATAAGTAAAGAACGTCTCAGTGGTATTTCCATGAGAAAGAGACAATTTTGTTAGATAATTTACAAATGTAGGTATTGAACTTATATTATAATACTACTTTCATAACAATTCTACAATTAAATATTTTTGTTTTTTGTTTAGATAGATTAATAACTAACATGATCAGTGGGGTCCATTATCTTCTTGAAGAATAAAAAAAATAATAATAATTTATTTACAAAATGTATATTTAGGCCCCCAAATTAAGATTTGCACATCAGCCCCATAATGTGTAGTTGCGGCACTGCTTATTAAGTTCCTTTATCACTCCAACTTATGAAATTAAATATAATATTAAAAAGTGATATTTTCAACTAAGCGTTTTTTCATAATTTAATCAATCCTTTAATGCATATGGCTTAATAAATTAGTGTAAAGCGACTTCAATCATTTAATTGGAAGATTCATAATATCGGAATATACAAATAGATGGCAGATGTTTTTAACGTTTTCAATTATTCTGTTTTTCTATTTTCACCATCAAATATCAGTTATTGACGGTATTGTCTAATTGTATATAACTATAATAGTAATCATTGTCCACTGGACTACAGTGATTTTAAAGTTTCCTGATCAACATCAGAGATTCGATGCACCTGTACGCTGCTTCCCCAGTATTTTCCAGCGTATTACCTATCGTCGAATTTTAATTTGGTTCCAAACCATTTTTGCATTCTTATGTGAACTTGCCTCCACATCACCACCAAATTAATCCAAACAAATCGTAAGTACTTGTAAGTTGACCATTTTGAATAAATCGAAAAAACTACCTTTTGTGTGTCAGCCTTCCCAAAATCAAAATGTACAGGAATAATTGTAAGTTAAAGCCCTGTATGGTTATAAGTTCATTCTGCACCAACCTAACCTTCGGAAGTTAGGGTTCTATGAAATTTTCCTTCTTAGTATTTGCGAGCGTTGTTGTAAGGTACCTCTCTGTAAGGTACCTGAAAAATTGAATGCACCGCTTGTTATGTATTAGTATTTATTAGCATTCAGTGTTAAAAAAATGTTTCATATGGCCTGATATCCAAGTCTGGTTTCTCTTGCTAGCCCATTTCCTGTGATATTAGATACAGTTGTTGATGATCGATTTGAGATTTTGAAAATTTGCTCTTGATTATTATGACTAAAGTATTAAACCATGTGAACACCTGGAATCGTGTATTATAAATATAAAATTAATAATAGAATGTTGATAGAAAAAATATTATACTTTATAGTAGTATATTTTATTTTCAAGTTAATTTTGACATATTTGTACGTGTTATAGTTTTGGATATTTAATGATGTGCTATGTTCTATTGTGTTAGTATATAAAACTTTAAAATATACATAAACTATATACTCAGTATAATATATTACACTGTTTCAAATTCTGACTGACGCAATATTTTAATGTATCAAAATCTAATACGACTAAATGGGTCAAAAACTATTACCATTTAGAGTTTGGATGAAGGGGGTATAATACGGTGGAAAAGTTATTTTATCTAGACGTGTAAAATCTATTGTCTTTATGCGCTCCTATCTAAACTTTATATGGTTATTATTTTTGAACTTTAACCAAAGGTTACTACCAGATGAGATCAATGATAGATTTTAATAGTATTAAATAATTTAAAACACATATTATATTATATAATATGCATTATGAACACATTTATGTAGGTGTCTATAATACAGTTTTTACAACCAGTGAATATTGCTGGGATTATATTCTATTATATGAAATATGAATTACATATTAAATCAATATGGGTACTTCAGACGATTACTTAAAAAAAAATAACGAAATGTTTTTTGACTTCCTGTCATTATTGGACTATTTTTTTGAATAATAATATTCCTAGATGGATAAATAACTTCAAAAAGAGAACTAAGTACCTAGAAGTCAGTAAATAGTTGTACACAGAAAAAAAATAACATACTGACTTAGTTCTTATTTTGAAGTTTTTGCCATTTCATCAAAAACTATAGCAAAAATTCGGGTTAACTATATAGATTTCAGGTGTTTCAGGGTTTTAATTTTTTTAGGGGTGTTACCGGTTTCTGTTAATTCAGGAGGAATGCTCTGCGTTGAGGTATAATATTGGCCAATACATAAATAACTTCCACAAACTAAATAATGTCTCTATTCATTTTTTTTTTGGTTCTTTACTTTTTTATGAACATAGTAAACCGTTGTTTATATCTATGGTTGAAAAAACAAAAAACAAAATTCCCAAAACATTTTTTGTACTTTATTTAACTTTTATAATATCTTTTATCTACATTTGATAATTTTCTTGACCATGACGATGTATTATACAAACGTACGTTATTTAATCGATTTTCAAAAGTTTTGCATTTTTAATCAAATATGCTATAGCCTTGGCGTATTGTCTGTAACCTTTGAGCGGTAGTACTTTTAAATACGCTCGTGGGTCCATTTGTTGAGCATCGTTTTTGAACATTGATATCGTAGTGTCCTGGTCCCGGTTTTAGGGAATCTTCGATCATTTTTAAACTCTTGCCGACCCGTTTTGAATCATTAAATGGATACCTGAATAATAGTAGTATACATATTATTGATAAGTGAAATATCTTAAAATTAAAAACAATATTCATAGGTTGAATTAGAATTATTTAAATTCATCTAAATAGTATTGATTCAAATTCAATCTTTATCAAATTTATCTGCTCTACTTATGTCGGCAGGTACTCAAAGGTATATTTATTGTTTAAGATCTTTTACCGATTTTATCTTACTTATTTGTTTTTTTTGATAACCAGTTGGGCATGTTTACACAAGAAAATGACGGCACACTGTGATCTATTTTTTTTCTCGGTGTTTCCTGTTTGAATACATTTGTGTAAGTTCGATGACTTTTAGACGCGTAGCTCTCGAGTGGAAGTGGCCAATTGTCAGATAAAAGATAACATTTTTTTTCGGCAGTAATTCCTATCAAAGTACTTGAATCCCTAGGTCCTATTAAATAAATAAATATAATTTTTTTTTAAATAAATCATAAGTAAAACTGAAGTAATTTAAAAAACAAACAATGGAAAAATTTTAATTTTAATATAATATGTACCAGCATTGACACATGTTTTGAAATGTTAAAAGAATATGATATAATTTATGTTTTACTACTTATTTAAAAATATATTCTTATGCTAAATATCACTGTTTTATATTATTTTATTTTTTAACTCAAAGTAGAAATTATAAGCAACTGCCATGAGTTTTGTATGCATTAACTACTAAAAATAATCTACAATGGGTGTAATTCTAATACAATTCTCAATGATTTAACTCGAAATAATAGTTTTAATTAATGCAATTTTTATTGTAATTAATACAATTCACATTGGAACTTAACATAAAAAAAACCAACGTATATTAATCACTTATAATGCCTAATTATATATTCGACAAGACAATAATAAGATTACAAATAATAATACACATAAAAAAGTTGTTGGTTGATTTATCGTATTCAAATGATTTTGTGGAATTTGCTCATATATTATTAAATTCTGACATTTTCAAGTATATGAATAGGTTAAATGATGAATGGTGATTAAATATTAATTTTGTGTTTGGAATGTTTGGATGATTTATTTAAACGCCATTTTATAAATGAACTTAATGGTGAAATGAAATAGCATAATTTTATATTTAGTTCAGAATTTTCAATCAATGAATATAAATTCAATACTATTCTTGCCAGTAATTATACTAACTAGGTATAGTAACTTGAAACTATTACACTATATAATACAACTTTAATACAGTTCATTTGATTGAAATCGTTTGTCAATTTTTGACTTTTTAGTTTTTCTGTATATAAAACCGTTGTTTTAACTAATCCTAATATTAATAGCTTGGCTGTTATAGCTTATTTAAATAAAATAAAATAAGTTTAATATCAGACTTATATTATTTACCAATGTAACATAATATATACATGATGATGTAATAATAATCGACAATTTTTTTAAGAGTTATACTACACCAATTAATGAATAGCTACTGTTTCCAAATTGTATTTTACCTTTACTAAATCCATTATTAAATTATCTAGATCGCTTTATAATTAAGCACATATGTTAATTAATTTAGTCTAGACTGTATGGACACGGGAACATAGTATAATGTGTTTCAATCAAAATATTATTTCGTTTAGTTGACATGAATACTAATTAACAAATTCAACTTTATCGGTACAACTAAAATTGTAAATTATATATTACTTACATAGTTTTATACGTCTATGCTAATAAATAATAATAGGTTTGTGCAATAAAATATTATCATCTCACCCGGCATTGTTTGATATTAGTATCTTTTATTTTATTATCCGAAATTAGTCCATTAAAAGTTATATCTTTGACTTTTAACTGTTCGTTAAGAGATGCTATTTGAGACTTGTACTGTAAAATCTCAATCTGAAATCATGTATTTTATTTTATATTCTATGCTGTATCATACCTATTAAATCGTATAAAAATTACTTTAAGATTTTTAATTATAGCTTTTGTCTCTTCATTTTCTAATTTTATCTTATCTGTATACTTGATATTTTTCAATTTTCTATCTTCAAAATCTTTTATTTTTTGTGACAATTTTGTGTTATTTACCTAAACATTTTTTTTTTCTTATCATTGTTATTAAATTATCGTGTGTTCTGTAACATTACCGTCAAAGTAAAAATTTCACTTTTAGAATATTTTAGTTGTTCGTCAACTTCTTTACGTTTTGATGTATGATTGCTTATTTCTATTGTTAGTTTTTTGTTCCCCGATGTTAATTCTTTAATTTGCTTCTTCAAGTCTAGGATTTTTCTTCTATAATGGGGTAGTTGTGCAGTATTTGTCTAAAATTAAAAAGAACCATACAAATTTATTACTAACTGTTTATAGATAACAATGATAACAAACCTATTATTAAGCGATTCCTTAGCAATTTCATGGCAATGCTTGTGCGCGGAATCAACACATTTGTCTGTATTATAGGTACACGGTTATCTACTCGAGTAGATAACCGTGGTATTATAATTCAATTTCAATAATCCTCTTCCATTGTTCTTAACTCATTTTCTAAATATTTATTCATATTTTTGAGCTCCTTATTTTCATAGTTCAATTTATTATTTTTTTTTCAACACTTCCTAACTTCTCCTCGAGTACTCTGGAGGGATAGTACGATTCGGACCTGTAAAATTATAAATATGATATATTATGTAGATACATTATTGGTAGGTATAGTAGTATAGATAGTAAATCCATTATTAAATTATCTAGATCGCTTTATAATTAAGCACATATGTTAATTAATTTAGTCTAGACTGTATGGACACGGGAACATAGTATAATGTGTTTCAATCAAAATATTATTTCGTTTAGTTGACATGAATACTAATTAACAAATTCAACTTTATCGGTACAACTAAAATTGTAAATTATATATTACTTACATAGTTTTGTTAGTCACATACAAATGATTCTCCGTCTATTTTACTAGTATGGTTAATGTTAATATTTTGTTTTTCTGACCTGTAAACGTATCATAAGGTCCTCTGGCGCTAATCTTCTTTTCAACTCGAGTCTGAATCGTATGGTGTTTCAAACCATCTGCATACAATGTAGGAGGTAAATTCCAATTTGTTTTTAAATTTTGTGGTCGAGCAGGAAACTTTAAATTTTTCTTAATTTGGAATTTTGGAAAACTTAGGTTATATATCGTCGTTGGGCGACTGGGCGAGTAACATGTCGTATCTCAAAAAAGTAAAATGTTCAGGAGACTAGGAGAGACAAAAACGTGAACACTGATAACATGGAATCAAGTTACGTCAAAATTACAATTAAGTCTACAATCTCCTTGGAAATTATTATTATTAATATTAATATAATTATCAAATCATATGTTATTTTTTCCCGCTTTTTTTTATGTATAAATCGCAAAATCGATTTTTCTTGAGATACGACATGTTACTCGCCCAACGACGATATACCTATGTAACGTTTAAAAAAATTATTATAATATTATACTATGAAACAAATTTTGTTTGGAAATTTAAAATCAAATACTTCTTAATTACTTTCAACAATAAATTGTATTATTGTTGGTCGACATTTATTTGTTCTTTAATTGTAATCGTAATTAGGTATTAAACTGATGTCAGCGTTAAATTTTTAGTTGTTATACCTAGGTACCTTCACAAATAACAAATGCATCAAAGCAAAACTACTACTCTTCACATTTCTTAGTCACAGGTCAAAGTTACATTACCAAACAGTCCATATCAGATAAACTTAACATATTAGTTATTACCTACTAAAGAATTAAGATATTAATAAGGTAGTTTTAAATTTTAAATCATTAAAATAACCATTATCTATTATGATAAATGTATTGTAAAGTTTATTAGGTTATGACAATTCATAGTATTGAAATAACAAAAATGACTGTAAAAATCATCCCCTTTTTAGTTTCATTTTCTGTAATAGGTAATTTTTGTCTGAGTTAGAACTGATTGGTTATAAAATGAGAATTAATAGTAGTAAATAATATTTGTTATACAGATACATCATGCTCATATTATGCCAACATGATAACATCCCATTAAACATCTTTAAAATTTAAAATCTAAAACATTATTGAACAAAAAACACATAATTAGTATAATATTAATACATTGTTTTGCAATATATAGGTACATATTATAAGTAAAAAAAATTTCTTAAAATGGAAAAATTAATAGTATGAAAATATTTAAATATTTAATATTGTAGTCATACAATAAAGTATAAAGTATTTGCCATGGATATTATAACCATAGTATTTTGTCCATAAATATAAATTAAGTTTGTTCATATAATATCATAATTAAAAAAAAAATATTTTTATGATATAATATTATAGAATAACAATTGTTGTTCCGACCTGGGCCTAACGTATCGTTTTTCTTTCCGTCAAACCGGGACAACCCAGACAAAAAAGCAACTTTATTCAGCTTCTTTCTTGATTTATTTTTACATGTCTGTATATATTTTACATTTTTGTTCTTGTTGCACAACTCCATCTGTATCGCCGTCTTCAATAAGTCTTTCATTTTTTTTTATCGATTAGCTCAGCTTTGTGTAATTTAATTTTATCAGATTTTGAAACTTCAAAATGTTACCAGTTTTTGCAGTAACATTGAGATTATTTTTTACTTGTCGTCATGATTTGAAAACTTAAATATTTTCGTGTCTTGTAAATAATTTATTTTAAACAATAAGTATTTAATATAAACACTAACATTATGGTAGTCATAACTAATTATTATTAATAGAATATCAACAATAACTATAATTATTCAGATAATAGATATCATACGTTTTAAGTTTTATAGTAAATTAAATTAATGCGTTTTAAATATTTTGATAGAGATACATGACCTCTGTGTAATATTTAGGCGGAATTCTTCAAATTTGTACAAAGAGAAGAAGGTACTATATTAAATGTAAAAGTATTAATAAATATTATGTATTATAGGTAGATGTAATATTTCTAATTAGGTACCAAGTATATGTGCATAACATAGCAATAACTATATATTATTTCTATTCATTTTTATATTCATAGTGTAAGAAACAACGAAACACCCTATTTGAATAATTCACTTGAGTAATAATAATTTTTCCAAGTTATATTACATAAAAAAAATATGGTGAAAATAGTAAGTCAGTCAGATGTTAAAGTTAAATATCCCCAAGGGTGGGGTTGTTTTGAAACGAATCACCTTGTTAATTCAAAGTAACTGCGTAATGAAAATTTTCTCGTAAAATATAACTTAAATTAGAGCAGAAGGGTTAGTAAAACATTGTGTGTAAAATGCGGTGAAATTATAATGGAAATGTTTTATTTTTCGCAGGAAATATTATCCCAGTAAATTAAGTCGGGGATTTATGATTTTCTCATTTTTAAATCGTTTATTTTGAAGATGACAAAAATATATTCGTTTGTACTTTTATTGATACCTACATAGTATGTTTTTTTATTTTGTAATGTGTAAAAAAACTAATACTTACAATTTAAGATATTTAAAAAAAAATTTGTTTAGTGTTTCTTTATTATATTATTTTACTTAGTTCATATGGTATATAACATTTAAAAATGTGTACGTAAATTGACAAAATATGTTAGATGGGTTGTAATATTAAAATCACAAGCAAAATCAATAATAATTAGATAATATTTACTAATTTAATTTAGAAATTATTTTCATATATTTGCAGATATAAGCTTTTAAGTCCAAATATTATTTTCGTATTAAAACAAAATCCGTGTTTTAAATAATTACCACTAGTGACTCGTTTGATTTCTTTGACATAAAAAAAAAAAAAATTATAGAAGATTTGAACTTCTGAGTTTTTCTAACGGAGCTATCTATATTTAATTACAATACCGTAACCAGTTTATAAATTCTGACAAAATACCAAATAAATGGTGAGTACAGTAATAATTACATGTGTATAATATAAGTTATAATATAGATTATAGATCTTTAAAATTTGTATTTACTTTTCCAATTTTTACTTTCATCATTTTAAATATTTTACGATTTATACTTTCAATATACATAATATAATATACTCAGGAACAATTTATTTTTTGTTTATTTAACTAATTAACTTGTATAACTCACTTCTGTAGCTTTATAAATATAACACACCGATAGTATACTATTAACTTCCGTTGATTTCCATCAAATTATATTCATTAATTACACATATTTGAGTATTTATCATAATATGCAGTTATTTAACCATATTAATATAAGGTTAATTCACACGGAAACAGAAATAGCTAGTACAGTATAATGTTACCTCATTTTATACTAGCCTAATAAGATATACCGCTTTCGTATGATATTTATAAAAATATAATTAATATAAACTAATAACTTTTGATTCTGATCAATGCTCTCGATAAAATTATTGTTCATAGTTCATATTATGGTTTTTTTTTTCAAGAAAATTACACAAAAAAAATGTTCATTTAATTTGATTCAAAATTCAAATTTATTTATTTTTCAAAAAATATGTTATTTTCAATATCATTTTAAAGAAAGATAAAATTAAATATAATATCAGATTTGTATAAGAAGAGGAATACTTTTTTGTTAGATAAGTTTCTAAAAATATTTATTATTATTTGAATAATAATTTAGCACCTATTTAGTGTTTTCGACGATTATGATAGTACCACAAAAATAGGACTGAGGGAGTGTACACCACGCTTAATATGTTTATAGGACCAGTTTGATTGGAGGAAAGGCGCGTGTGAATCGAGCTAAAATCGTGAATATATATACTCACGATTTTGGTTGTATTTTACCGACGCAATTTGAGCGATATAATTTATTTTCATTCTATATTTATTTCTATGTTTTCATTGTATTGTAAGCATCTCAAATATTAATTTCCACGGCATCCTAAACACTTGAATATAGGCCTGTAAAAACCATCATTAACATAGTATACTTATATAATATTAGCGATAAAAAATGTATAAATATATTATATTATAATATGTATCAGTAGTCTATAAAAAAAAACACAATTTATTTTAAATATTTGATCTCTAACCGAATTTGAATTTATACTTTCGTTTCAATGGTGAGCCGTATTATTTATGCACTGACGCTTTAAGTATTCATTTATTAGTTAATCGAGATTTTGTTTAATTCGTCTAATTATTATAATAATATGTTGTTTTCGAGAAAACACTCTACGGCTAGACTGCAGGATAATACGCTGTAGGTACTTACCTACAAGATGCTTAACGAAAATGTATAATTTATGAATTAAATTAAATAGTTATGGAATTATTACACCATTTCGAGTCGGCAAATTAATCGGGGAACTCTTAAGACAAAAACGTTCCCACTGCATGAAATGGTTTTCAAAAAGTTTTGTGTCCCTATAGGTACCTACTTTATAATACAATTTCAAAACTATTATTAAAAAAAAAAATAATAAAAAAATAAAAATACGTTTACGTGTAGGTACAGCAGTGAGTATAGAACATTCACGAACACGAACACAATATAATAACGCATCGATGATATAGCTGTATAATTAAACCGTATACAATTTGATTTAAAGATAGATAATATTCTTGTTTGACGTGAGAGTGGGATTTTTATTTATCATTATAATATATTATATTGTAGGTATATCAGGTATATATAGGTACGTCAGTGTGTATTCGCCGTGTATAGATGATTGTTTTCGTTATTAAAATATACAATCTAACTGGTAGAAGCTGCACCGAGCTTCCCTTTTTACCAGATAACTTTACTTTTAATTATTAAAAAATATTGATTAAACGCCATTACTCACTATAATGTGGTGTGATAAATGGTCACATTTTTTGTTTTATTTACAATTTTTATTTTTAAATATCTTCAAACTATAATTATGATAAATTAGTTATAACATCACAGTCTGAATGTTTGAATATAAAAACGAGTTGCATTTTGTTTTCATCAGGTAAAAATATTGCTGGCTAAAATATTATTGTATACATAATTGATAATAAATATACATATTATAGCAGTTGATTAAACTCATCAATATAGCTCAATAATTCGATTTAATTCTACTTTCACTTTAATCTTATATAGGTACCGGCACTGACGCACTGGCTTATAGCCTAAAGGTATAATAGTTTTTAGTTATTGGAATAGTAAAAAAAATAGTTTAAAGAAACTGTGTTGGTACCTAACCATTAGATTATTTCCATCATTATACAATGCACGAGTGTGCCGCATTGTTATAGTACAATAAAAGTCATACTATTTTCAGAATATTTATTTTATTTATTTTATTTTATTTTTTATTTTAATACGGGCCGCAGCCCAAAAGTACAGAAAAATAAATTTACATATTATAAGTGAATTCAATGTGTAGTAGACATAATAATTAATATAGAGAAAGGAAAGAATACAAAAGAAAAGAATTACAGAACTTAACTTAAAAACTAAAAGACGGATCCTCATTGGCAATACGCATCATCCTATTTAGTGGTTTGTTTCGTGAATAATTTGTCGTACACAGTGGTATACTGAAAGGATAGGAAGAACGGACCTGGACACAGGGAATTTTAAAATTTACTTTAGATAGAAGTTCAGGACAGTCGATCGACCCATTGATGAGCTTGACTAGGAAGACTTTGTTAATGTTGATACGTCTATCGGCCAAAGACTGTAAGCCTAGCCTATCTATTACTGGATCATAATCATGAGGTCTATGTTCGATATTTAATAGATATGCTGCAAAGCTCAAAAACTTGCGTTGGACTCTCTCAAGTTGATTCATATTGCTTGTGTTGTGAGGGTTCCATATAATTACAGAAAATTCAAGAATTGATCTGACGATCGCACAATATAAGGCTTTTAGTGGAGTTATCAACTTAAATTCGTTACAAACCCGCTTAAGGAATCCAAGAGCTTTTAAAGCTTTACAGCATGTCGCATCTATATGGTGATGGAAATTTAAGTTACTATCATAGAAAACTCCGAGGTCTTTCACAGTATTCAGTTCAATAGCAAGATAGGTTCCACGAAGTAAATAATTGAACTCCAAGTGAGTCCGACCTCTATAAAATGATTTTGAGCAACATTTGGAGACATTAAAATCCAAACCAATATTTACAGCCCAGGCATCCAGTGCATACAAGTCATTTTGAAGTAATTGACAGTCATGTACTGAGCGAATTTCTAGAAATAGCTTTAAGTCATCTGCAAATAGTAAGAATTTACTGTGGCGAATAACTTTCTTTATGTCATTAATAAACAATATAAAAAGTAACGGGGAAAGATGGCCACCCTGAGGTACCCCTGACGGCGTGTTTAATACCTGTGATTTGATACCAAATATTTTTATGAATTGTTTGCGACCGGATAGATAAGAGCTGAACCATGATAACAAAGGCTCCCCAAAACCACTACCAGCAAGGACTTTCATAAGAACAGCATGGTTAACCCTATCAAAGGCTTTACTGAAGTCGGTGTAAATGACGTCAACCTGATTTTTTTTTGCAAAGGCATCAAACACATAATCA